TCCAGTAGCTGATCACAAGGTGGAAGGGCCCGCGCCAGTGATAACTTTTTTAGGGATAACTTTAGATTCACATAAGTTGCTAGCCAGTCTGCCCCAAGAGAAATTGGACAGAATCAAACAGGGTGTACGTTCCTTAGTCATTTCTCAGGTATGCACCAAGGGAGAATTACAGTCCCTTTTGGGCATGCTCAATTTTGCCATGAGGATCATTCCTCAAGGTAGGTAGTTTGTCTCCAGGTTGTTAATGTTATTAGAGGAGGCTCACGATTCAGACACACCGGTTCACCTGAACGCTAATGCCCGAGCAGATCTGTTCATGTGGGACACATTTTTTGGATAGATGGAATGGTATTTCGATGTTCATGCCTCAGGCCACTGTCAAGTCTCCACATGTGTTTTCAGATGTGGCAGCTTCAGTAGGGTTCTCTGCTATTTTTGGCTCCCATTGGTTAGCCAGTTTATGGCCCACAGAGGTCCTACGGTTGCCAGGTTTTTCTCAGACATCAGCATTATTCGAGATCTATCCTATTGTAGCAGCTGCGGTTGTTTGGGGGCGGCTTTGGACAGGTCACACAGTGATTTTTAACACTGACAACATGGCCACAACAGAGATCATTAATAAAGGCAGGTTCAAATCAATACTTATGTCCTTCATGCATAGATTGACCTGGATAGCTCTGAAGTGGGGGTTTCATTTCCATGGTGTGTTTGTTGAATGGGTCAATAACGGATCAGCCGATGCATTATCACGTTTTGATTTTTCATGTTTCTTTTTGCAGAATCCAGAGGCGGATCCAGCAGGCACCCCAGTTCCGGACTGGCAGTTGCTGGTGTTGGATTAAGTTCCTTGATGGTGGTAGCCAGAACGCTTATTAATAAATCGCTTTCCAGGAATACTTTGAAGGCGTACCATAGAGTTTGGGAGGTTTATGCTAGATTTCGGGTAACTTATCCGGGGCGTAACGCCGGACGAGTTAATATATGGTGGCCTTTGTGTCATACTGTCACTCAGTTCTGGCTTTATCTCGCAACACCATTAGGTTGTATTTAGCGGGAGTTCAGCATTTTTTAGCTCTGCAGGACCCTGACAGACCTTCCTTTCAGCTCATCCTGTCAAGGCTATTTTGAAGGGAATCCAGAAGAGTCAGTCTAAGGTCAAGATGGTTCGTCGGCCTATCACGGGAGACATCTTTCGCAAATTATCAGCTCTTCTATGGCTTTCCCCTTTGGTGTGCTTTCCAGCCTGGTGCACACCAAAGGCGGCCATTTATTTAGCTTTTTATGGTTTGTTGAGGCCCAGGGAAGTATCCCAGGCTAGACAGGGGGTGGTGGTACTCGGCAAAGGTAGTTTAGTAAAGGTGGGTGACGTGTATAATTTACATCTACCTCACGACAAAACCAGGCAGGTGGGTCCAGGGCATGTGATCAAGTTTTTTCAAACAGGGAACGCTTGGTGTCCTGTGGCTGTTTTGGATCAACTCTTTTTGGCACTTAGGTAAGTAAACACAAAGGGAGCGCCTTTCCTAGTGCAGATCAATTTATTTCAATAAGCATGAAGTAAAAAGGAGATGGTTCTGATGAAGGGGGCGTGCCCCGGAAACGCGTCAACGTCATCACACACAGGAATTGTCTAGTGGATGCCTTACTGCATGTCAGCTCCCATTCCATGCCTGTGTAACACTCATGTTTGTGAGTACCATTTTATCTCCTTTTTACTTAATGCTTATTGAAATAAATTGATCTGCACTAGGAAAGGCACTCCCTTTGTGTTTACTTTCCAGATTCCCGGCTTCTTTGGGGCAGCATCCTGCAGTATGCCTGAGAAGATTTCCCAGTGAGGACTGATAGTGGCGCTTCGTTGTTTTTACTGTCTTTTTGGCACTTAGTCTTCACAAGCAGGACAATTCTTTACTGCCTTTTCCCATCATCCCTTTTTCCTCTAGTCAATTCGTCAAGCACATCTGTGTTTTGTTGGCCAACATGGGATTGAATCCGGTGCAGTTTTGGGTCATTCCTTCCTCGTAGGAGCAGCCTCCAAACGGGGTGCCAGCACACATTATCAAACACTTGGGTTGTTGGAGTTCTGCCTGCTTTGTCCAGTACTGGCTGGAGCTTTTGGTAATAGAGTGTAATTTGGCTTTTCTCTATCCTTTCAGTCGATTTTTGCCCCCTTAGGCATTCTGTCCTTAGAAGGCCAAGGCACACTCCAGGCCATGGGGGGTTCAGGGTATCACTTATAGTTATCAGGCTCGGACCACAAGTAAGATATATACATACATATATCTAGATATATATCTATATATACAGCCGTGCTCATAAGTTTAAACAGAAAAATGGCAAGCACACTACTGTGGTGGTGACTGTTAGTGGTTTTGGGTGAGCAAGCTTCTAAACCAGGGAGAGGAACCCTGTATATGCATATGGTAAAGACAAAAAAGGAGCGCTACAACCCAGAAATATGTGGTACTTGATAGGTCAGTTTATGGAATGATTGCAGTGTAGTGCATGAAAATTATATCTGCAAAATTTAGGAATCACTGACTCGCTGTTAGATGGACATGGTGATTCCATGTCGGTGAAGAATGGATGGTAATGGCAGCTTGAGGTCACGGAAGGCTCCTGTAGCTGGACCACCTGAGAATTGCTGTTGGCTGGAGGTGGTCTCATGCAGCCATGTATACAAACAAGCTGTGCACTTGTATATGCCATGAGGCAAATCTTGCAAGGAGCTCCAGACCGAGGGCGATTGATGGTTATTTTGTATTCCTTCCATTTGCGAATAATCGCTCCAACAGTTGTTTCCTTCTCACCAATATTCTTGCTGATAGTCTTGTAGCCCATTCCAGCCTTGTGCAGGTCTACATTCTTGTCCCTAATGTCCTTTGACAGCTCTTTGGTCTTGCTCATGGTGGTGAGGTTTGAATGGAAGAAAGAGATTATGTGGACAGGTGTCTTTTACATAAATAACAAGTTGTCGTTAGGAGCAACTTCTTAAATTGACAGGACTAATCTGTGTACCACATAGCCAGTCTGTGAGAGCCAGAATTATTGTTGGTTGGTAGGGGATCAAATACTTATTTTACTCACTGAACTGTAACTGAATTTATAACATTTGTATCATGTGTTTTTTTTCTGGATTTTTGGTTGACATTCTGTCTCTATCATTTAAAATACACCTATGATATTATAGACCTTTCATTTCCTTGTAAGTGGGAAAACTTACAAAATCTGCAGGGGATCACATAATTATTTTCCTCAACATGTGTATGGGTGTGTGTATATCCTTGCAACTCTTTTCTACTTTTAACTCTCTACTATGTCCTCCACTGCCACCACCCACTAACTCACTCACTGCCCAGGACATTGCCATTCATTTCAAACAAAATAGATACAATTTGGGGTCAGATTGCCACTGTGCAGTCACCTTCCCCTATTCATGTACCAGACCCACCATCACAGTTGTTACTCTCCTCTTTTGACCCTGTCACAGCAGAGGAGGCTACAAAGCTTCTCTCTGACATCCACCTCACCACTTGCCCCCTGGACCCTGTTCCCTCACCACTACTTCACTCACCCTTTACTCTATCCTACACTTTCTTACTCACATTTTCAATCTCTCATTCTCCACTGGCATCTTTCCCTCCCCTCTAAAACATGCCCTGGTCACCCCAATACCCCCAAAAACCCTCAATGGACCCTACCGACATCAACAATCTGACCAATTTCCTTACTCCCATTCATGTCTGTGAAGGTTCTCATTCATCCAGGTCATGGTATATCTGTAAAAAAAAAATAAGTCAAGGCAACTGGACTTGCTGTATTTTTTGGCTTCCAATACCATCTCTATGCCGATGACACTCAAATCTATCTTTCTACTCCAAAACTCACCCCCTCAGTGTCCTTGCATGCCACTAATCTACTAACGGACATATCAGTCTGGATGTCACAACACTTCTTAAAACTCAGCCTTTCAAAAACTGAGCTCATTATATTTCCTCCTGCCCGTGCACCTTCACCGAACTTTTCCCTTGAGATTGTCAACACAACTATCCAGCCCTCCCCCCATGCCAACATCCTAGGTGTCATCCTTGACTCGGACCTCACCTTTCTTCCCCACATCCAATCACTATCCAAATCCTGCCGCCTTCACCTCCAAAATACGCCCCTTCCTCACCAATGAAACCGCAAAAGTACTCATCCACTCGTTATATCTCGTCTTGACTATTGCAACTCCCTCCTCATTGGCCTACCTCTACACAGGCTACCCCCCCTTCAATCTATCGTGAATGCAGCTGTTAGACTCATTCACCTAACCAACCGCTCAGTGTCTGAAACCCCCCTCTGTCAATCCCTGGCTTCCAATAGCCCAAAGGATACAATTAAAAATATTAACAACCACTTACAAAACCATCCACACTTCTGCCCCTGGCTATATCTCAAACCTGGTCTCAAAGTATCACCCTAACCGTCCGCTCCGCTCTTCAAAAGACCTTCTGCTTTCCAGCTCCCTCATCAACTCCTCCCATGCTCCCCTCCAGGACTTCACTAGAGTCTCTCCCATCCTATGGAACTCTCTACCCCAACCTGTCCGTCTGTCTCCCACTCTGACTGCCTTTAGGCGATCCCTTAGGACTCATCTCTTCTGGGAAGCCTATCCTACCTCAACCTAACCACTGAACTATTACTTTCTCAGACAATTCATCCCCACACAGCTTCCTCCTCATGAATCACTTGCCCCTCCCTTTTTAGATTGTAAGCCCTCACGGTCAGGTCCCTCCTTACCATCTTGTCTTGAATTGTATTGTGATTGTAATGTCTTCCTTATATTGTAAAGCGCTGTGCAAACTGTTGATGCTATATAAATCCTGAATAATAATATTATATTTCATTTATGTAGCTTGTGATCTTGTTTTTGTATTATTTATTATTATATAAATAATTACATTTTGTGCAGTGATTTTGTTTACTGGTATTTTTTTTTCACTCTCCCTCCAATACAGAAGCTGCTAGCTTAAGTAATACGTCTCTAATTCTTTTGCATCAGTTGGAAGATAAAATGAAAGCACATTCATTCTTTGTGGACTTTCTTCATCAGGTTAGTGTGTTCGAAACAATTATTTAAAGTATTGTGCTCTTGTATTTTTCTCTTCCGTTCATTGAAGGACACAGGAAATTGATAATGTACTGTACGACAGCATAATATCGCCACCTGCAGGAGAAGCTCACTAGGCACAAAACAAAAGACAGCCTGGGGGGGCCCCTGCTGGTAGCCAGCAGGGGCCGTCCCAGGCACTTGTCAGCTGGTGGGGGGCACCAGCTGACAAGTCTGCAGTATTTTACCTAGTGTCAGTAGTAAGATTTTTTTCTCTGAAATTCTTCCCTTTTCCTTCTTTTTTGGTTGAATCTTCGAGCAACTGCCGGCTGGGTGACTGGATGATCATAGATCCCTGTAGTCCTACACAGCCTGGCCTGCGAGCATATGCAGATGTGCTCTGGTGGGTCGGCTGTGTCTACTTTATCTCATGGAGTGGCCTGTGGGAGTCTTCCTGGTGGAGTGCATTTGACTGGAGGTCTCAGCTTCCCAGTCACAGTACCCTTCACAGGCAGGCAGCACCCCGACTATGGTCATGTGGTGATTTGCAATACCTGTGGTGCCTTGTTTTTTTTATGTGGTGTTGTTTGCATACTTTGTGTGCTGGCATGCTGGGGACCGTGGTGCTGAGCAGCGGAGCACTGCCGTTGCGGTGCGTGTGCAGCCTGCAGCCAACAAATTTAGTGCCTGGCTTCGGCCTAGTGGGGATCGCCTGGCTGGGTTTTTTCCTCTCTGGGCTGGGGTTTCCGCGGTGCAGGTGAGGGGATCCACGGTCACCTGTGGTGGGCTGTGTGTGTGTAGTGGGGAACGGGTGGCAGCCATCTTGGTTTTGGGCAGCTGCCCTCACTAGTGGTGTCACTTCCCACATGCACCCTGAGGGGCTTTTGGAACATGATGGGCAGCACAGTGGCATAGTGGTTAGCACTTTTGCTTTGCAGCACTAGGGGTCCCTGGTTCGAATCCTGGCATGGTCACTATCTGCAAGGCGTTTGCATGTTCTCCCTGTGCTTGCATGGGTTTCCTCTGGGTACTCTGGTTTCCTCCCACACTCCAAAGACATGCTGGAAGGTAAAAATTGGCTCCTGTCTAAATTGGCCCTGTATGTATGCATGTGAGATAGGGACCTTAGATTGTAGGCTCCTTGAGGGCAGGGACAGATGTGAATGCACACTATGTAAAGGCGCTATATAAATACATGTAATAAATACCGTGTTTCCCCGAAAGTAAGACCTACCCCTAAAATAAGACCTAGCACTATCTTCAGGGATTTCTGTAATATAAGACCTACCCCGAAAATAAGACCTAGTTCGGTGGTAGATCTCATATTACAGAAATCCCTGAAGATAGTGCTAGCC